TTACATTTCATGCATTTTTTTGTTACAAAACCAACATAGCTAAAGGGTTGACATAGCAAGTTAATTATATTTTTTTGTCACTCATAGGAAATGGGAATGAAGTAAAACAATGTACATACTGAAACGAATAAAAAGATATTTAATTTTAATGACTACCATGGTTTAAAAGCGATTTTTATACACTTTAGTAATACGAGTACATATGAAGAATTAATATTAACAGTTTAAAAAATATACCTTAATTGTCACATATCATTAGCGACAATTTTTGAAAAGAATGACGCTATTTTTATAAATAATACTTCATTCAACATTAAAAGCTAAGAGCTTACCATAAGAGAATTTCTCTTGGCAAATATACGAATTCTCAAAATAAATATGTACAAGTATTGTCATTTTCGTATTTTATGAAGAATAAATAAGAAGTACATCAATAACATTAAAGGCAAGTCTTTATATCATTGGAGTTGTGTAATTAAATGAATGAACCCACAAATAGGACGTCTTTTTTAAGTCAAATTCCCGATAGAAGGCAAAGCTTGCGATCTTACTTAGATCTAAATTTAAGTTTTAGTAGATTTTTTCTTTTTATCTGCTGACTTCTCCTTTGGAAACCTTTGGGCCTATTGTTATATATAGCCAGTGTTTGATTATTTGGTTTAGGTTATATCAATATCTAAGTGCCTCTTCGAAAGTGCTGTAAATTAAATCTAGGGAATTATTATTTATTTATTTATTTAAAATCTTTATTGTCTAACTACACACGTAGAAACAAAAGGTGGACTTAATGCCTGAAGGCATTCTCTCCCAGTCAACCCTTAGGCAAAGCAGAAAGACATGAAGACGGTAGTATGTAAGAGTAAAACTATACATATTAATTTCTATTGATATATACATAATATATACACATATATATAGATACATATACATACACATACATATACATACATATACATACACATACATACACATACATACACATACATATACATACACATACATACACATACATACACATACATATACATACACATACATACACATACATATACATATACATACACATACAAATACAATACACCAAAAACAATAATAAAAACAGAGACTTAACAGAGATTCTGAGCAAAATGTTCCTGTAAGCGACGCCTGAAAATTGCCCTTGTAGGTGCCTTTCTTATTTCTAGTGGAAGTTTATTCCACAGTCTGATAGATTTTACAGAGAAGGAGTTGGAGAGGAAACCAGAGTGGTGGCTGGGAAAAGAGAGGAGGAGAGAGTCATTAGAGCGTAGCTGTCGATCATGATTGTCACAAAGAAATTTAAAATTATCTTTTAGGTAAAGAGGAGATTGGGGATCAAAGAGAATAGAGAAAAGAAGACACAATAGACGTAATTCTCTGCGTTGGCGGATGGGAAGCCATTTGAGCTCCGCTCGACAGTGAGAAATGTGGTCAAATTTACGAAGACAAAAGATAAAACGTAAGGAGTTATTTAGGAGACGGTCAAGTTTGTTCAAAAGGGTTTCATTGAGATCAGGATAGCACACATCAGCGTAATCTATAATAGGAAATATAAGGGCTTGTACAAGTAAGATTTTAGTTTTAATAGGTAAAAAATTCCTTAAACGATTAAGGCACCTTAACGTGGCAGTGACAGAACGACTAACTTCAGAAATATGCACATTCCAACTTAATGTACTATCAATATGAAGACCAAGATCTTTAACGCGGTGGAAGTATGGAATAGTCGTATTGTTAAAAACGATAGGTGACAAAGAAGAAATATTTAACTTAGACATGAGACGTGAGCTACCAACAATGATCGCCTGACACTTAGTAGGGTTAACTACAATGCCAAATTTGTTACACCAGTTGTAAACGTAAGAAAGATTTTGATTTATTTTATTTATAGCTGTTTCGATATTGTCTATCTCTGAATTAGAGTATAGTTGCAAATCGTCGGCGTAAAAATGATAAGAACAGTCGAGATGGAAAGAAAGGAAATTTATAAAAAGAGAAAAAATAATAGGAGATAAAATGCCACCCTGCGGAACGCCAGCAGAAAGATCAAGCCACTCGGAGAGGGACTGATTCAGCCTAACCGCTTGCCGGCGGCCGCGAAGATAAGAGGAGAACCATTCCAGAGCTGATGAAGAAAATTTTAAATGCTTGAATATGGCCAGGACGATATCATGATCAACCATGTTAAAAGCATTGGAAAAATCAATTAAGACCAGAATGGTGATCATTCTATTCTCCATGCCAACCCGAATATCCTCAGATACTTTGAGAAGAGCGGTAGCTGTGCTATGGCCTGGTCGGAAGCCAGACTGATATGAGGTGAGAATATTATTATTGTAAACAAAGGAAGAGACCTGCTTGTAGACACACAGCTCCACAATTTTCGATAGAAAAGGAAGAATAGAAATAGGTCTGAAGTTATTTAGTTGGGAAGGATTGGGAACTTTAGGAAGTGGAATGATGTAAGCTGTACGCCACAAGGAAGGGAATTCTCCAGATGAAATGGAAAAGTTTACAATATGAGTAATAGCCGACAGTACATAGTCCAGAATAAGTAAAATCATAGGTCGATTGATACTATCAACACCAGTAGCATTAGATGTTATTGAAATGATTATTTTACGAATTTCATCATCAGACACTGGAGAAAGGACTAAGTCGTTAAAAGGAAGAGAGGCCATGGATTCAATCTCAGAAATAGTAGATAATTTAGTATTTTGAGATAACGGAGAACTGGAAGAAAAATATCTGTTTAATGTATCAGGAGAAAACGAAGAGACAGCAATGTCTTCATTCCGTTTATTTATACCTAGAGTTTGAAGAAATTTCCATACTGAGGCCGAAGATGCATTGCTAACATTAACGTGACAATAGTGGCGTTTGGCTGTTCTTACCATTAGATTACACCTGTTGCGAGCTACCTTATACAAATCCCAGTTTTCTTTGCTCCTATCACGCTTAAACTTGCGGAAAGCGCGATCGCGTCGTGACATGGCCATTCGGACTCCTTTGGTAATCCAAGGAGCAGGCGGACGCCTGATCTTAACAGGTCTCAAAGGTGCGTGTTTATCGAACAGTGATAAAATAGACAAGTTAAAGTGAGAGACTTTATCATCTACTGTCGATGAACGGTACATCAAGGACATGTCCAGCGATCTTGCATCTTCTTTCAAAGCCTCAAGATCAATTTTAGCTAGGTTTCGCATCGATACTATTGGAGCTTTAGCTTTAGGTGACTTAAGCTTGTATGATAAATATATAAGGTCGTGACGAGAAAACCCGGGAGCTGCAAGTTGACCATATTCAATCACAGAATTTTTAGAAGAAACTATGATAACGTCCAACCAAGTGTCAGGCGAGTCAGAGTTATGATGAGTAGGTTCAGAGGGAAGAATGTTGAAATTCACCGAATCTATGAGTTGGGAAAGTTTAAGAGAACGTGGAGTGGTTTTCAACAGATCCGTGTTTAAATCGCCCATGATAATATGATGTGAGTAATCCGAAGAAAGGGATTCCAGGATAGGTTCAAGTGAAGAGAAATAGTCAACAGTAGGAGGACAATAGATAACTCCAAGAACAGCTTTTACACCCCTGAGACGGATTTCAAGGAATATAAATTCAGCAGAAAACGAGAAAGAAGAAGGAGAAGTAAAAAGAACAGTATAAGCAATATCCGAACGAAGGTAGATAGCAACACCTCCTCCCCCTTTGCCTACCCGATCGTTCCGAATCAGCACAAAACCGGGAAGACTATATAAGGTGGAATTAAGTGAGGGTTTCAACCAACTTTCGGAGATCAATACTGCGTCTACAGGGGCGTATGAAAAGGCTTCAAGAAAATCAGAGAAATGAGAAGGTAAACTTTGAGTGTTAAGATGACAGACATTAAAAGAGCTAGGAGAGTTAAGAAAAGAACTACATAGCAAAGTCCCAAGCGTCTCAGGAACATGGAAAGAATCACCATCTGTGTACGAGGAACAACTACTACTGCATGCTGATAAAAATACATCATCATCTGTATCAGACATAATACTACAATTATATTATAAATAAGATGAAAATACGTATATGATAAATTAATTATTAAATAAATGGATTTAAATATATATGTATATATAAAAAAAATAAAAATAGGTATATATAAAAACCAAAAAACAAAAAGAAGAATAATAACAATTATTCCTGCTTGTCCCGCCAGCTGACGGTTACATTAAAACTGTACTAATCATTAAACACTAATGATAACAAAAAAAAAATATATATATAAATAATTTTAAAAAAAGTTAAAGAAATAAAAAAAAAATTACACACTAAAATTTAAATGACCAGAGCAGTAGACTTAACAATGACAGATAACCTTAATTACTGTTAACAAGGGTATTCTTAATTATTATTTTTAGAAGAGCGACACCAAAGTACATAATCTAATAATCTTTTTTATTACAATAGAAAACCTATATCTAACATATCTACTAAGACTAAAAATTATTAAAAATTAAAGTGTCATATATTTACATACATAGGTTAAAATAAATATAGTTGTAATATAATATGATTAGTTGACACGTTAAATTTATAATCTATTACAATTTATGAATACATGCACGACTAGGCAACACAGTATATTGTCTTTGTCAACTGTCAGTATAGAGAAAGATACTATTTATGTCAAGTGTCAACGTCAAAGTAATTTATACAAATACCGAAGAAAATTCTAAGTTAAAATTAACCAATGAAGTAATAAAACATAAATGAATTGAATTACAATTCAATAATACCAGAGCGGCTTAAGTGAATAGTAAAAAGTATTATAGTTTAAATATGTACATGATAAATAAAGAATACCCTTACCTTAGCAACGATACCAAAATTGCTCTGGGGATTTGTTATTAATTACAAGATTTTCAAAAAAGCTTAATACTCAAATAAATACAATGATAAAAAAAAAGAAAAAATACGAAGAAATAAATAAATGAGGAACACTATTTCTTTGCCCTCACTGCTCGCTTGGGTTTGGAATTGTATCCTGATGATGAGTCCTGATTTCCACTTGAAGGTGCCTCAGCAGCGACATCGGTATTAACAGTCAGTTTAGAAAGGCTCTCCTCGGTATCAATACGGTGTCTGGTGCCATCGGGAAGCTTAACAATGATATTCCCGTCTAATGTCCAACAGTTCTTCATCCCCAATCTTTTGCGCGCAAGCAAGAACAACGCCTGACGTTGGTGGGTTAGAAACTCAGACAGCACAAAGGGGGAGCCCTTAAGACTAGCCTTCTTCTTCCACACAGCAGTTTTCAGATTGAGGTCGACAAACCTCACAAGCACGGGACGATGCTTGCCCCCAGAATGTTTACCAAGACGATGACAAGCAATAATCTTATCCTTGGTTACATCTCTTATACCAAGCTTATCATTGCAGATATCAGAAATAGAATTTGAAAGATCCTCATTAGGTTCCTCCGGTACACCATTAAATAACAGATACTTTCTTCGGTGTCTCATTTCAATATTATCAAATTATTATTTAGCAATTCATGAATACTTATATAACAAGTTCTTAACCAAAAATATTTTGTCTTATTTTTATTTTTTTCAATTATCAGGGCTTTTTGGGATAAAGGAAATGAGTATTATATTTTGCGTCGGATTACAAAACATTGAAATTTGTTTATGCTATGCCGTTTCCCTCTTATTAAAGACTATTGAGACGCGGTAAATATTTGTTACCAGTTTTGAGAAGAAAGGGATTCGGATAATTGTTTTGGTATTTTCCTTCCTTGAGTTTGATTTCTTTACCAGATATAAATAACAGATGATTAAAAGAGAAGATTTCATTTCAGACATTTTTCGTTCCTCATTTTTTTTTTTAAATGAATAAATTAATTAAATGAAAATGAAAAGAAATATAATATGTTGCTTTTGGTGGCTAGATTGCATACTGTCTCGAAATCAATTAGGACCATTTTCAATTTTACTTTTTTCCTAATGATAATATCTTAAATCTTCTTTTGTACTATATTAACAACAACTATTTTGGAACCTGTCATATAATCTTTATTTCGTCATAACTCTAACTCTAACTTAGGATAGATCCAATAGTGCAATATGAAAATCGTATTAAATAATAAATTAATTGTTTTTTAATCATTATGTTGGTAATTTCATTCCGACTTAATCAACAAAATTTTATTCTTTGCCTTAATATAAATCTGACAGCAGAATGTCTTATCGAAGTCATTCTAATAAGCAAAAATAAATTAATTGTATATTTTTATTGCTAGGACTACAATATTTTTATTTATTTTTATGCAATATTTGCTCTTATTAAATAAACAGAAAAGATAAATTAAAATAGAAAAGATATTAAAAGATTATTTCTAAATACATACTTATAACAAATAATACGTGAATACTTAATATTTTAAAAATATTGTTCTAGTAATCGTTTAGCAATTCGAAAGTAACTTTGCTTTTATCTGTTTACCTTTTCATATCGCAGATCTTCTGCTAGTAATCTTGTTTAAGTCTTAACCAACAAGTTATTTTATTATTTCAGTTTTATTGGTTCGTATTTCAATGAAGCCTGTTGTTTTAAACAGATTTATTTTAAAAGCTTGCTATTTTTAGAGCTTATTCAATATAAATATTCAGATAGAAATGAGGATTAAATCTGGGAATGATTGTTTACGTTGGTACATTGTAATAATATAGGGAACATCTACTTGGTATTTCTGTGCTAATTTGATTTTATGTCTAAGTTATTTCATATGAAGTCTGAAATATTATAACGAAAGTTGTGTAATTTTATGTTCAACTGGAGGTCTTAACAAACTTTAACTTTAAGTTATAAGTCATAAGGGGTTTAGCAACTTATGTTAGTCAGGCAAGTTGGTGACCTCTGTCAAGAAAACTATTCTGAGAGTACACAGAGCTCATGATTGGTACTTGGGTGTCAGTTTTTAAGTCAGAGTAAAGTTATGATTCAGTTGCTTCAATTAATATTCTGTTAATATATCGGACGCACTTGGAGTCCGTTAGATTGAGGGGAATAGGCCTTAGGTCTGTAACTCTAGCATTACTATTACTATACTATAATATACTACTTTCTTTGAAATTTGTATAAATTGTAATAAAACAATTAAATAACTTCAGATAGAAAATACAATAATTATATGAATATTAACTAACAGATGAAATTACGGAGATTATGGAGATCATTATTAAACACTTTCATGTTTAAATATTTCGAAAACTAAACCACTTCTATTGGGACAAGTTCGCCCATTAAGTCCACTGGTGTTTGATCTTTGGTGAATACCAGTGAATTCATGCTTCAATGCACAGCAATGATTGAATTGTAGTTTATGACGTCTGTAGTGGTCAATGGTCTGTAGTGGTAACCCATAGACCATAGTGCTGAAAACTACATTCCATTATTATGTAGGATATAACACCACGCTTTTTTGAAATTGTTTTTGTCCCAGATATTTAGCGTACATTTAATCAGCGGTATCCTGATAAAAACCGGTATATTTGTTTGTGGGGCATCTAGCTCATCAAAAACCTACATGTCGCTACGTTGAAACTCATTAAACCAAATTTTGATGTTGACCTTTGCAAGATACAAAATCGTCGAAAGCAGCATCTAAATACTTTTTGATTTCTACGCATAAAAGCCATTCCAAAAACAAAATTCGAATATTCGTCTTTTAATTTCACCTACACATTTCACTAAAAAAGTTTTTTTTTATAATAGTAATAAACATTATAATTTAATTTTAAATTTTGGTGAATTCAAATCTTTGTAATATAAGTATATAAATGTTGCTTATTAACAAGATAAGGTAAACGTTAATTTCTCTTATCATTATATTTACGAAACGTTTCTTGATTTACTTTGATTTAAATTTAATTTGAGTAATTGAAAGTAATCTGGAACTCTAGAAATGAAAAAAATATTATATTAAAAAGGACCTTTCTAAATTGAGAAATTTAATCTAGTATTTAGAAAATAGGTGCGATAATAAGAATATTTGTACTAAATTATGAGAGAAAATCATGTTTTGTCAGTCAATAAATTACAATGTTTGAATTTGCTAAAGATTATACTCATCCTTATTGTATAATAAATAAAATATCTATATGAAACTGAGTTTCTGGGATACTTCGTGTATTTTTTTAAATGTATATGCTATGTATATGGAATATGAAATTCGATAACTTTTCAGCAACCGCAATTACAGACAGAAATTAAGTAAAATAAAATGTAGATGTAGAAATAAAATGATAAAAAGGAGTAGTATCTCAAATAAAAATGTTCCATTTAAATTTGTACTAGTGGAAATTAAACAAGATTTCTTTTTGTTACAGATAAGATGGAGTCAAACGTTAATTTATATAACGTTACTTCACTAATATTAAGTACGGAGGCCACATCGACTACAGTTACGAGTATTGTTCAGAATGCGACCCTCTCTAGTAATGCGTATGAATGGAGATTCATATTACCTCCATACTTCATAATATTCTTGCTCTCCATATCTGGAAATTGCCTGGTTATAGCAACACTTGCTAGTAACCGTCGAATGAGAACAGTCACCAATGTCTACTTATTGAATTTGGTAAGTTATTTGTTTATTCTTCCTTCATTAATATTTTCGATTATTTTAATTATAATTTGACGAAATGAACTGACTTGAAGATGAAAATGCTATTATAAATTCAGTTTATTTATCATTGTTTTCTAAGGGACACTGATCTTAAAAGTGAAAAAAAATATATTGTTTGTAAAAGCCGTAATATTTATATTTCGTAGAAAAGGACACGCACCATCTGTGTTTCTAAGGACTTGAATAATATGGGCCATTAAATATAGATCTTAAGTTTAAAAGTTCATCTTTTGCTCGTAGGAAAATGTATATCATAGTTTATTTTGAGGAACTGAACGAATTTCAGTAAATATGTCATATAAAGATAACGATTGATAAGGTTGACTTGCGTCTGTAGTATCTAAAACGTACAATGTGCACGTCTTGAAAGGTATAAATAAGCTTTAACTGAGGTAATGCAAATACGATCCAAGGCTTGATTTCTATAAAACCATCAAGTCAGATACTAGCTAAGCTGTATGCATATCTAATTTACAAAGTAGTTAGGATAAAATAAATTAATAATGTAAATCCATTTATACACTTTCCGTGATTTACTTTACAATCTGCGAAAAGGCTTTGTATGACAAAAAAAAAACAATTGCTATGTAATTAAGTTAAAGGGAATTGCTTATTAGAAAGAAAGTTTTAAGTACTTGAGCATTATTAAATAAGTAAAATAATACAAACCAAAGTTATTGAACATCTACAGATTCGTAAATAGATAGAACAAACCTAAAGGATCATCTGATAACTTACTTAAGTTCCCAACTAGTAAATTTATCAAATTAATGAAAACACAAAAGTTTCAATACGAACAAGAGGACATCGTAATCAGAGCCGTCGAGTCACTGGTTGTTACAATTTGATTTTGATTTCAAATGTAATGGTTTCATCGCAGTTTTTAGAATTATTTTGGTATAAATATTCTCAAAAACTTAAATGAATTCTATGAAAGTAAATATTAGGAAACATATTTGTCAAAGAGATAGTTACGTCTATAATCAGCAGTGTTCTGATCATGATCATCAAATGTAAATGTTGTTTATACATATATCTTTAATATTTTGAAATTCTTCAAGTTCTTTTTGTATAAAATATTTTAGGATTACTTTGTTAAGAGAAAATCTTTTAAGGCTAAATCTCTTGCATTTTGATAAAGGTTCCTCTGATGTTTCATTTCAGAAACAAAAAATTTTCACGTTTTCTTTCTACGTTGTTTTAACAATTGTCTTGAAGGCATTCTTTTTTTACGATGTAAAAGGTTACTAAATTAAAATATTTTTACGGAAACGAATTCATTTTATCTTCAACGCATACGTAATGGAAAATATAGATAAAAGAAAAATGTTCTCTGAATATATTTGAGTTAAATCCATATATAATACATTTTTATTTAAACTTAAAAGTTTACTGAGGTTCTGATTTATTAGAAACTAGTAAACCTGGCGAACTCCGTTTCGCCTCCAGAAGGCTTTGTTTTATGTAACATTTCGTTTGGTGATTAAAAGATGAAGAATTTTTTTTTTGTTTTATATTTGAAAAGGAAAATATTTATTTCATTTCACAATTCAGTAATGAATAATTCATTTCGATTACAAAAATGAAGTGTTATTTAGTTGAACTTCTCTAAGTAAATGAAAGTGAATCCAAGGTAGATACCGAATCGAAGCGTTATACGTGTCCGCAAATTATCCGTTTCATTAAAGTGCTCCTTTGTAAACCACATTTTTTGTTTTTTGGTTTAACGTTAACACAAATAAAGCGGATGGTTTCCCAACTCGTGAACACACAAACTATAACTGCCCATGTGAAAAACAATGATTTTCTAAATTTATCCCGCAAATACTAAAT